GTGGAAAGAATTCGCGGAAAGTCCTTTGTGGCGGTCCTCTCTGCCTAACCTGCAACGGATACGGTGTGAAGATATAGATAGATAGATAATACAATTATTTATTTGTAACGTTACAGCTGGCAATTAAGAATTCAATAGAGTATCTAGAATAAAATACTGTTAACAACAATATTCATTAACTTCGCTAATAGGTATCATTTATATGTAAACGTAATTTAGTATCCAAAGTTCTGTTAAGTTTGTAACAAAATAATTGATTACCATTATTTATGTAATAACGTTTACATTATTCAGTCAATGAGTTAGTCGATTAGGTACTCCTTGCTTCCAAGTACTTATTACGAGTAAGTATAATCTAATAACATTAATAATAATCTTGAAAGACCCCTGAGTCTGATTCCCAGCGGAGATAATAAAGAGCTTTTGCAAAAGCTCTTCTTTCGGTAGGCTGAAAGCAATTGATATTGGCTGTTATCGTAAGAAGTCTTGTTACTCACGAATTCACACTGGAAATTACAGAAAGCCGTTAATGGAAATAGGATACTAGTATAGGGAGAATTACTAAAACTGTTTGTTCGTCAAATTATTTCAGCACTTTCTTTTAATTTTTTTGCGTAATCAATAAATAATGGCGGTACATTGAGTCAAAATGTCATGACCTTTGTAGGAAATCTACAAGTGTGCGGTAGGAGGTGATGAGCCTTCACTCCACAACTTTAATGTCTATTATATAAGGCATTATTTGTTACTTGAAACATTTTAAGAGTAAGTAAATAATAACCTCCCGACTTCGATAGAAGTTTTTTAATAATTGAACCATTATTAAAATAAGTGTTATTTTTCACTTTTCTCAAGTTTTATGGGGGTTCTGTTTAAAGAAAAATCTTTATTTTTAGTGAGGTAGTAAGGAGATTCTCAGTTGGACCACATAAGTATGTGGTCCAACTGAGAATCTCCTTCGAAAATATAATTTAAACAAATACTCTCTTGAAAACCGCATCAAAATAAATTCAACCAAACGTAAGATAAGTACGGACACTACATACATGCTTACAGGTCCTGCGAACTTCGTTTTTGAAGTCGTTTAAGAACTACTCTTACAGTTAGACAACAGTTAGACAGTTGAATTTTTTTGTTGTTGCTCTAAATACAAATATTAAAAATAGAATAAATTTAAAGGGGGGTGGACTCCCATACAACAAACATGTTTTTTGCCTTAGATAATTCATCTTAAACAACTTTCGTACATGAGCGTCACAAAAATTTAGCAATCTTTTTTCTTTTTTCAATAAAGAACGAATAGCAAATAAACCTTTTTTCAATATTGTTTCAGCGTTACAGTGTCTTGCATGAATTTTGCTATATTGAACCTCCTTATAATTAATTTGAATTGTGAAGAATTTAAACTTTTCATTCTCAAGTAAATATTGTCCTTTTAAATCTTTAACGAATACACAAATTCATTTGTATGATGGACAAATAGTCATAATTTATTTATAATACAACATTTTTCTTAAAGAACAATGGCGAACTCCCATATAGCTTTGGACCTGAATTTTTAAAGTCCCGTTCATGAATGAAATAAACGTGTACTTGAAGGTATAAGCTAAACTAACAAAATCCTAATCGTCTTTCTCCTTTAAAAGTTGGGATTAAGAAGATATGGCATAAAATACTTTGTGGGGTTATATATTGCATCTTTGCTTTTTCGTTGAATGGACGTTAAAATAAATAAAATTGGTAACCAGGTTACTCAATTTTATAAACTAGATTAAAATAATTACATATGTAACAAGATCCAGACACTTATAATAGAAGAAACATTTATAACATATGACTAGACTGTGTGGAGTAAATCCCTTTGCCTTTAATTATATCATTACAACTGAAAGTGACAAATAAGGGCAATTTACACACTGACCTGTCATTGTTATAACCGAATCGTTTGCTATTCGGAATCCAAAAATAATGCAAATATCAACGTTAGTCGAAGAAACATACTTAATTGTCAATTTGAATATTAACATAAATACCAAACTCCACGAACGAACATAACAAACAAACCAAACCAATCATTCGCTATCATTCCACCATCATCATCATAGAACATTCACAGATGAAAACAAGAATGTCAAAATAAAATCAACCAATCGATTATTTAGAACAAAATAATCGATACGTTAACCTTTCATCGGATTAACTGCAGAACTGGCAATAATCTTCTTAAATCGGTTGTGGTATCTTAGCTTTCATTTTTTTTATTTCTCAAGTATTCAATACGTAATTTGAATAAATAAAATAAATATTTATGAAAGTATCCAAAGACCGTATTTCATATAATATATTATATATAGATTTTATATTTAATATATATTTGACGTTCATTCGCTCAGTCTGTATGCATCATTACATCACATATCTCACTTATTATTAGCAGTAAATGACGACAGATAATATTCTATAGAACATGTTTGAAAAACTCGCGATTAATTGAGAATCGCCTCTGACATCGTTGATGTATGTGATCGATTTTTCAAAAACCATCCAAACTACAACCCTTTGACATATTGTGTGGTGTTCAATTAAAGAGATCGGAATCTATTCTGTACAATCTTATTTTGAATTTATATTTGATTATTAAGCGTATTAATGGTACTTTAAAGGCAATAGAATTAATTGCAATGTACAGGAAACGATAATATCCATTAAAATAGATGACCCTTTTATTGTCCGGCGCAAAATTCATGAAGCACTTCCAAGACATAGTTATTAAAGTATTTCTGCGTAAATCAGAACGTTTCTTAAGAAGATTTTCGCGTTTTGTTTTTGCACTATCATCAGACGTTTTGTTATCTTGATAATTATTAGCAGCATTTAATATTTTAGTTTGGTTCCCCGACATTAAAATTCACCAATTTGTAGAAATAAAATCTATTAATCATATATTATTTATTTGTCATATTGCCATCCATGTACGGTTTTGTAAATTATGGGGTCTGACTTCGCCATTCTTCTTTCCATTAAGCTGAAAATGTTTAAAAAAAAAGTACTCAATAATCATAATCATTATAAAATATGGGGATGACTGTGATTAATCCATCCGGTATTCCAATTTCAGAAGGTGTGAAATGAAAAACTATAGTTTAAATAACAATCGGAGCACGGGCAGACGAATACATACAAACGAATGGAGCGAGTGAACGATGTACGCTATTCGTCGTGGTTAGTCTTATACTGGCGGTCAAGAAGGCGTGTCAATTAGCATCACTATTGGTGCAAAAAAACATGCGAACAATGGTACTGGTATTAAGTAGCTAGAACAGAGCGTAAGCTATAATTGCGCGTGCTTAATGCTATATGTTTTAAAGCTTTACTGCCAGTTGCACAAAATTAATTTAAAGCGCCAATACCCATACAAATATGACATTCATTTGAGCTTAAAAACGTCATTAAGCTCTAATGGATGTTTGTGCAGCTGACCGTAAGTATGTTAATATTTCATATTATTTTAATGTAATAATGTAAATCTATAGATAATAATAAGTCATTTATAAGGTTTGTTTAGAATAAGCTAGTTAGTAAGTTTTTATTGTTTTTATAAATGAAAAATAAAATGATTTTGAATAAATAAATATATAAAAATAAAATAGAAATATATTATTGTGCGTATTATTTATACGTGTAAGATAATTACTGCCAAACAAACTGTAACGTATATTTACATTACACGATAAGGACGTATGAATTTAATCGCTATCAGATATTTTATCTGTCTGTTAATATTACATGCCCAAGCCAAAGTGATGGGTTAGTAATTATAAGAATCGAGTGGTAAACGGACTCATTATGAAAGCGTAAAGGTAACGTTCGCAAAATGAGCAATAGAGGTTGCCGTGGTATATTTGATTGCGGCGAAAAAGGTAGATAGATGTTCGTATGTCGAGGTTGGTGCTGGCTGCTGACTCTGGAGACGATAATGAGGATGTAAATTGGTCTGCCAGTAGGGCGACTAGGATTTATGCGAAAACTAACACAACAAATGAAAAAATTCATTAGATAGAGTAACTTTTTCGTTGAAATATATTTCTAAGTTCAAAGTCACTTTTTGTCGATTTTGAGTTGGGTTAAAAGACCTAACTCAAAACCCAACGGTTCATAAAAAGCCTTTTATTATTATTTTTATCTTATTCAATTATAAAGTATTGATTATGTACAATCAAATTTTATATGTTATTATTATGGTGAAAATTTTATTTACGAGTACTTTGTTTTTAACATTATAAGGTATTTATTGCTAAGATACCAAGTTCAAGTGCTTGTGCTATAAACATCTGGAAAAAGAGAATATGATATCATTTCTTAAATTGACTTCAGATGTAGTAATAACTTAATGAAATTTCTACTTATGAGAAAAATAATTATGTTAAGTTAAGATATAAAAATCATCATCTTAACTTTTGTTAAGTGAAATTTATTTTAACAAGAAACATACATTATTAGCTAGAAAGGTTGTGTAATATATTAAGGAAACCTCGTCTTCTTCGTCGTCGGTTAGCTGGTCCTCAAATGAAGTAATAGGAGTAGTAAAGTAGTCTTTTTACTGATATTACTGATATTTGTCAGTTTAAAAAAATTAACTGATCTATTCTTTATAAAAATTTTATTGAAAAATAAATGAATGTTGAGCTAAAATAGAATTTTATTTTTAGACAAACACAATAGGCGGCCTAATTTCTGAGGTAGCAATTTCTTCCATGTTATCTTTGGCTAAAGACAATTATACCAATTAAGTAAACGGGCAGCGAGTAATATTGATGAATACAGATAAATAATATCATTAATAATTTTAAAAAACCAATCGGACTTATATGAAAACCTCCTCCTTTTTTTAGAGTCAGTAAAAAAATAGGTTGGTAACCCTAAGTGGGAGGCGGGCAGGGGCTGCGCGGGTGTAGAGGGGGCGCGGTGCCCGGGCCGCCCAACCTGTGGCGTACGCGTACGTATCTGTTGCGCCGCCCGCCTGGCACGGTCGCTCGTAGCGCCAGTCGCCGTCGCTGCACCTTCGCCGTCGGGTTGATTCACGTGCAAATATTTTTCCGCTGTTAAGAACACGTGACGTGCAACCGTTTCCTGTAAAAATCCGCATCAGCCGGATATGAATAATTATTACCGACGCCTCTGAACTGCAGAGGATGTTTTGAATGGTGTGAATTTTTTTAATGTAATAATTATAATTGGTCAACTTAGTGTTACTGATAAATACAATAGTTTTTGAATTAAACAGTTCTTGTTGATTATTATAAGAAAACTAGTGGAATAAAGGAAAGTATTAGAATTTTTTTTTTCTATGAAAAATTTAGTATTTTCGCTGTTCCAAATTTATTCTTTCAATTTCTAAATTGACTAATTCACTAATAAGGTAAATGAGTTTATTGTACTAAAAATACTTGTTTTAAAGAACTGAATAGAATTTATAGTTGAAAAAAATACGGAAGTAGAAAAAGAAAAAATTAAAATTAAGTAAATGAATAAACATAGTTGTAACAAAACAATGATAACAAACATATGCAAAACGATTACTTTTACCTAGAAAAACAAAAGAAAACGCAATGAATTATTTAAAACATCAACATTACATTAGAAAATTTAGCAGCATGTTCACTTATGCACATACGTAACCGTCTGCGGACATTTACACACCACCACCTTGTCTGTAAAAATACAATAGATCTGTTAAAATAGAGAAAGGAAAGCACTTTGGGGAACATTTACATTTATTCACACAATGGATCCCTTCCGCTCGGACCCTAGGGACGTTACACGTCATTATACCTTTGACTGGTGGACGAAATCACTTCACAACACTACAAAAGCTATTGTAACAATTCAAAACAAATTTTAAATAAATGTCACTAGACATTAAAATTTATTTTAGTACTGCAAAACGTTGAAAACCAATTCAGAGAAATAATTCTGAAACTTTAAGCCTAATCCGATACTCGATCATATGAAATAGACACTGAAAGTTATGTTAAATCGCAAACATTGATATTCAAACGCGGCCCACTTTTTGAATCCCTATCATTTAGATTCAATATCGTTTTTTATCGCGAATGCCGAACTATCATATCTAGATCAATATTATGTTGTCATTCCCGGCTCAACGTTTAGGTTTTGTAAGTGAATTAATAGTTTTTAATAAATGAATTTAATTACAGGCAGTTTTGTTTACTTGAGTATTGTGCGTTACTTTTAAGTGTAAAGTGCAAGTGCAGTGAAGAGTTAGTGAGCGAAGACAGTCACCGGGCTGAGATGACCGGCTGGGTCCGCTAGATCGATCCCGCCTCAACGGCGCGCCTGGCTACAGTAAGTGCATCGTTTGCATACACTACGAATTTAAAACTTTGTAACGCCCGAGCGTGCTTTTGAATGATTGCACTATATTCGATATTCATAGTTTACAGTTAGCATCGTTCTACTTCAGTTAATTTACACAAAATGTTAATAAACTATACTCCAAAATGTTTATCGTGAATTTCTCCGTTCGTTATTACAACTGTCTGAAAACAATTTCGGTTTTGTTTGAGCTTATCGCGTTGAGACACTCAGCTACGAAAGGAAATGTTTGTTTTTCGTTGTGTAGAAAGCAAATCTGGAAGAAAAAATGGTGATATTTTCTGGGACACTGTTGATATTGTTGTATTATCGGAATTAGATGTTCATGTTGCGTGCAAGGAACCTTGTCTAACGTCGAAGCAGCCAATGGAGAACTGCCAAGGATATATTGCCTTCTGTTTCTATTTAATCATGTATGCAGCCGTAAATTAACGAAGGCCGGTGCGTTAGTTACCAGAGCAAAAATACTTTCACCGAAATACCGCAATCATAAACGCTTGGTTGCCGGCTAATATTTATTTACTTTTGAAACACTGCATAAATATTTACACAGTCTAGTAGTTGCAAAATAGAGGTACAATGCGACTGCAATTAAAGGGATTAGACTATTTCAAAACTGTTTTACCGAGCCTCCAAAAAGCTTTTCGAGAGCACTTGCTGACATTCGATATATATATATATATTATTTGTAGACAAAATATTCTATGCCGTCACGTTTATATAAAGGTCTCAAAGTGGTATTGTACGGTAAGAAACGTGACGCTATTTTGGATAACAAAAGAAAACGGCGGTTTGGTAAGACAGCCAAAATGATTAGAGCCCTTGGCAGTCTCACATTAGTTAAAATTTGAAGAGCATTCAAACGAAAATATTATATTTTCATTATCATTCAATGTTTTAGCTTGAAATAATATTTTTAGTAGTGAAAAACATGTTTAATTTGTATGTAACCGAAATGTCTATCATTCACAACTGTCGCTACGGCGTGTGAGTGAACCGGCAGGAAGTGTGATGTGCTATTTCTGGCTGTAATAATTATATTTCGCTAAAATATTTTGTCTTCCATCTTAAAATATATTTCGTGAAACTTATAATGTTCAACTATTTATAATGTTACCTACATAAACATATATTTTATCACGTTTTCATCCCGTGAGGGTTTAGTAGTGTTGTAACGGTGTGCCGTATTATTTCATCCTAGGTTTCCGCATTCAAACTTTTTGCCATTTCTTTTTATTATTCACCTTTCACAATTTGAAATTTTGACTAATCCAATATGCTCTTTATGAATGTCAGTTTAAAAAAAATCATATAAATTTACATATAAAGATTAATAATAATTAAGTTATTATAATTTAAATAAGAAAATTGTTAATCTAAAAGTATATTACACAAAAGCCAGAAACGGAATATGTATTGGTTCCATTGAATAACTGTAATTATATATTTAGGCAATCATACGAATTGTTTTTATATTCATTTTTTGTTTGTTATAATTTTCTATTCTCTTTTCTTTATTACCTTATAATATAATCAAGTTTTCAAGCTTAGTCAGCCTTTCATTCATTCGCCCAAGCATCGAACCCGTCACAGTGTTAATGGAGTATTTACATTTACATGACCTATTGGTCAATGACCTAACTGATCAATCCTGATTGGTCTACTGACAGTTTATCTATCAACCTGACAAATCGTACAGGTCCTAATTTTGACGGATCAATCATAGCTTTATTACACGGTAAACCTATAGTTTTAAGATTTTACAATAGTTCTTTTATGTTAACGGAGTTTTCGATAGTTTTAGGTCGTTATTATTATTATTATAAGGTATGACTAGAATGAGTTCTACAGTAGGACTTATTCTACTGATTTAATAAAAATCGCGTTGCGTTATTTTATTTTAATTGAAACTACTTAAAATCTGAATTCAATTATTATTAAAAGTCCTTATAAAGTTGACTTAAATACATTTGTATACCTACTTTAACAATAAATTCTTAAATACTCGTACATACAAATACTTCAAAAATAGATATTTCATTTTTTAAACTACTTTTACGACTTGTACGCCGTAATAAGTTAGGTATGTGTACAAGGTGTTTAGAAACGTGGATCAACGTATCGACTATGGTTTTATATCATATTAAAAAATAAATAAGTATTCAGTATGATTTGGATATTCAATCTAGACTATTACGAGTACTTGTGAATGTCGAAAAATTAGTTTCTTGATATGAAATCAATGTGCAATATTATTCAAGACGCAGGACGATGAAGATCGCAACAAGATTTTAGTTAATTTAGTTTTTTAAAACTCTTTGGCTTAGACAGAATTTGGTATTGGGTGGCAACATTATATTATATGTTTATCGATTCTGTTTCTACTTGTTGTCCACTAGTCCCTTATCTTAGAGTGTACTTACATGAATAGGAAAGGAAAGCAAACAATCAATAAGAGGGAAGGAAAAAATATCGACGAAGTTACGATGCTTTTTACGATACTTAGCGAAATCTTACTTCCATTGATATATGTATATATATTTTATAATCATTAACAAACATTCCTTATTAGTGAATTTTTATGTCTCTTTTATAAACCTGCAATGGAATGTTTCAAGTACTGTAGTAAAACTGAATGTGCGGTATTTAATATATCTGCCGATATGCCTCTTTGTTTACTTACTGAAAGAATCACAAACATTCTATAAGAACATATACCGTATTATAACAAAACGAGGATTAAAATTTGTATGTACTTTGTTTAAACTACTGGCCACTTAAAGGAAATTGACAATGACAGAAGTTTAAACGCCAAATTGATACGCGTTGACTTATTTTAGTCGGGTAATGGTTTAAACCTGGTACTAAATAGTAGTCTTAGTTTTATAACGAGATGGTAAGTATTTATTAATGTTTTACTCATTAATATGTAATAATTTAAAAGAGTGAAATATTTGTTTTTTCTTTTTCAATTAATTATTTGAATAAAATATTTTTGTATGGAAATACCGGTTTTAATCATAAGAAATATCTATCCTGTTTTGCTCTTCTATATAAAAAAGCTGTCACAACATTAAAGTCTAATTAAATAAGATCTATATTAGTTAGCTTTTGGATTACGTATTATTTGATTGAATCACTAACACTGCTACAGCGCTATTTTTCAATAGAATAGCACTAACAATTTCGAATAAACTTTTCTACTTTTAAAAATTAATATCAAACAACCTAACCAAATATAAATAGTTTTTGATTTAACCTGTTGACCTGTAAAACTCATATAGAGGGTCTACATAGCCCAAGGGACGCTTGGAATTCTGTAAACAATTCAATCCAGATAAATTTCAATCACGTACTTAACCCTTTTATCACCAGCTGCTGTAAATGGGACGACGTAGGTTTGTTAATGTGTACTATTCGTGTTTCATTTTGTAGGCAATTTAATGATATTTATTACTAGTTTAGAATAAAATTAAATTAATATCCAATTTGTTATCAACAGCTTATGAGTGGACTGTAATAATAAATTTCAATTCAATTTTTAATTGATTAATTTATTATTATATAATGCTTACAATATCAATCATATTGAATTATAAATATGATTAAGCAAATAATAAGATGTATTTAAAGGACTTCGATGAACACAACACATAATAAGAGAAACAATAACAAAAGTCGTAAAAATCTTTTGATTTTACTACACTTATCTAAAGAATCTCATCACATTCTTACCACATTAATACATTTTCTACTTAGAACATGACGCCTTTTATGTTGTTTTAAACTTTCATGGTTATTTACATCAGAGTGAATGTGAAATTCGTATATTGGGAACTCGAGGAACGTCGGGAACCCGAGAATTATAAGGTACATGTTAGTATTCCGGTATTGCATAAACATTCTAATATAGCCTTTTAGTTATCTATCGCACACATCAGACATATTATTCTGTTAATACATTTCGAATTTCGAGAACAGAAACAGCGATGGATTCCAATGTTATATCATAAGTGTATATATACATAACTGTTACAAAGTAGGATTTCATAATAGTGAATCAGAAAATAGCTAGTCGGACGAAAATGAATACTGATGCGAAGACAATGCAAGAGCACTGATTTAGAGCATAATGACATAATTACACAAACTTTATTAGTCATATGAATTTTGTGTACATAAACTGATTAATTTTATCACTGACAGTGAGAAAGATTAGAAATATTTATACAGTGATTATAAGATTTATATTATATTTTATTACCCACAAGACTTCAATTAACGTGAAGGTTAAGTATTCTTAAGGTACCCGACACTCATATTTACGGTTACAATCGTTTTTTTATCTTCCAACTGATGTAAAAAAATGACATAACCTTTAAACGAATGTCGAATAAAATAAGTTTGCTATGTGCGTATATAGTCTATTTTTGTCCATAAAAAAATATTTCAAGAAGAAATAATAAAAAATATTAATTTTCAACATAAAAATGATTCATTTGAATAAATTAAAACAGATAAACTTTTCAGATAAACTAAGTAGGTAACTTAGAACTAACAATCAAAGAGTTCTCAGACATTAATTCTCCAAATGTGTTTGCGAAGAAGTTATAATATTTTTTTTTTTCGTTTTGAATATGGTATTATTTTCATATTAAGGAAGAACTAATAAAACTATTAATATCTAATTACACAAAATCAAGTTAGACTTAAACCGAGGCCAAAGAACAATATCAAATAATTGAATATCACCTATTTGTTCAGGATATTTTCAAAAGAAAGTTCCACATACATGTAATAATTTAATATTAAGTCTTTACCTATGAAATTGCCGTTTTTCATGAAATAAATGAAACGTATTTTTTCTATATTTTTTATTTCTTTTAATAAAAGTAATCACCCATACAATCAATGCCTTCTCAATATCATTCCTTCTTCATTATCCTCAAAATCAAACATTTTTCCCTCAA